GTAGGATGGGCTTGTCACTGTACTATTCACAAAGTGTAGGGTAGTTCTGTACCGACTGGACATACCTGCCCACACTGTAACACTGCCACCACCAAAAGCTTGTCTCCTGACAACAGTGGCTGATGCATACGCGCTCCTTGACGTCTCCGACGTCATTTCTGCTCAACGTGAATCGACTTTCATCAGAGAACAGCACTGAGGCCCACCGGTCCCTCGTCCAGCGTAAATGCTCCCTGGCCCTTGCAAGACGAGACGTCTGTGCCTGCTAGTGTGGTCAGGTACCCTTGCAGGTCGTCTAGCACGCAGTTCACGCTGATGTAAACGGTTTCGAATGGCCTGGCGTGACACTTCTCTGCCTCTCACCTCCTTTAAAAGTGCCTGGAGGTGAGTGGGCATTCTTCATTCGGTTTCTCAGGCCATTGTTCACAATGTAGCGGTCACCAGCATTGGATGTGGCCAAAGGACGTCACTTCTTCATCTTTCTGTCACTCTTACACTCTCTCAGGATCTCCGTTGCAACCTGCTCATGACACTCTGAGCTCAGTGACCACTTCCGTCTGAGAACGTCCTGTTTGAAGCATCACAGTGGCAAAGTACTGTTGATCCATTGTTAGGTGTCGTCTTGGTCGCATGATGTCAAAATGGGAACAGCATGATGAGGTCGACTGGTGAAACACCAGCTATAATTGAAGCAAGACATTCATTGTCAACGCGTGTTGTCAATTTTGCCGTTGAGCTCCTCGTTCGAGAACAGCAACTTGTGCAAAAAGTACTAAAACATTTCACAGTTGAACATATGCATTCAAAAGATTAGTAAAGATCACATTAAGTTCATGTGTACAGGTTTGAATGCATTTTAGTCTCGCCCTGAAATCTCACCCAAAAGCCAATATCCATAAGTTTTTGTGAGTGTTTTGTGTGTGTGTGTGTGTGTGTGTGTGTGTGTGTGTACACACACACACACAAATATAATGACTGGGAGACACAGACAGATAGACGAACTTACTACTTTTGGGTGACATTGTAAAAATGTAAAGGCAACAAACTTTGATAACATTTGAAGTTGGGCAGTTCAACAAAATATTAACTTTTACTTAACTTTTGCTAAAGTGAAAATTTGCTGCAACATTTTCAACAAAGAAATAAAAAGAAACGTTTTCACAACTAATTGCCCCGTGTGTATTGTCCCCCAGAATTCAACTCAGCAAACTGTTTTGGAGAAAACAACTGCTTGCTTTGATGTGCTGACTAACATTGTTGCCATGAATGTCAATAATTTTGATTTTAAAGTTGTTCCAAATTTAATGTTTGTTTGAGCACCATCCATCCAAGTAGTGTTTTTTTACAGTGTGGTTACTTGTCTTCTTCTTTCAGCAATGTGACAGCTGCATACATTTGGTAGTGTTGTAGGGGCCTCTTGCAGCTCAATCAACACATCATTCCACTGTTGTCTGTGCTTCTGGCCTTACTACCGCTAACCATTCACCTCATTACCCACTTAAGCCACACCCCCATCTATCCCATTCATTTAAAATTCCATAGATTCGTGAGCTGGTGAGGATATGGTCTATATTTTTAAGTAGGAGCAAATATCTTCTTTGTGTCTGGACGGAATGGCAGAAAAGGTCATTTTTATAAGCTGCATTTGTTACCATCCATAAAAAGTGTGTATATAAACAAACAAACTAACAAATCAATCAATCAAAAAATAAATAATTAATTTCTGATCCATTTACAAGGAATAGCAAAACAGAATAACTTACATCTTGGAAATAGAATGAATCTAAATTAAAACAAAAAACAATAACACAACAACAAAAGCAAGTGAAAACAGTCCATTAAAACCCATATTAATGATACATATTCGGGAGACGCCAGAAACGAATATAAAGACTTGTATCACGATGCCAACCAATAGGGGCGGCAGTATTTGTCAGGACTTGGCTTTGGAACTGGTTTGAGATAAACTGGGGACAAATGTAAAAACAAGTCGTTTTTGAAGAGATGCTGTCTGTTTCCTGACGATTGTTGAGTGGTCCTTGAGCAAAGTACCATGAACCCCCCCAGCCTTCAGTTCAACTGGTGAAACTCCACTCCCACCTCCGGTTCAAGTGGTCCTGCACATTTTGCACACCCCTTTCACTCTGACTTCACTTTGCATCCCTGCGTGTATATATGCCCTGCAATTATCGACCGAACAGTCCCGGAAGTCAGTTGGGACATGCGCAAGCTCCGCATGACCCTAAACAAGATAAGCGGTTGGATGATTGGATAAAATGGTAATTTTTTGAACTCTTACTCATAATGATGGTTGTAGTGCTACCGTGAATGGAGAAGGTGGTGAGATGAACATGGTGGTAACACTAACACGTACACATTAAACAGCATATGTGAACACGGAAGACCTTTGGTGCTTTGAGATTTAAAATGGTAAAATTAGTGCCTTGGTTCAAAAATTTTTTTGGGGAAACACTAAACTTAGGGACGAGTGTGACTTTATAAGGAGTAAAAATAGCTTTGAAATTTCCTAACGTAAGTCATGATACTGTCGCGTGTTATCACAGTGCCATCTTGTGGACAGATTACAGTATTGAGGCCAATTGACTTTTTATCTTTGGTTATTTAACTGGCACTGTAAGTGTCTGTTGTTAATTAAAAGTGTGATGCACACTAGACATTGGCAAAAAACGAGGGTTCGTTTCAAGGGAATGGGAACTTCTGGAATTATTCCATTGCCAAGTAATAGTGAACTTTGTGCCTTCTTAGGGGCTCGCAACAACGGGGGTCCTCGTAAGAGCAATAAGAACAAACAAGAACCAAAAAAGAGAGCCTGGAGAATAACAGAAGAACGTGTCGTTTAAGGAAGTTTTTCAATCGTATGTTTTATGTTTCATTTAAATGTATGCTTGATTAAATGATTTCAATAGAGGCCTATTGTTTATTTTCTGTATACTGTACCTTACAGGTCAGTAGTTTTCGAACAACCCAATTTTTTTTCCATTAACAAAAAAAAAATAAATAAATAAAATAAATTCATGCAGTTCAATGTCTCATTATATTCTGAAATAAAAACATATCGTCGGACACATAGCGCAATTGCCTCAGTCATTATTTTGGAAAAAGAAAACATTTTTAGAACCACATTGTTATTGTTTTAGTGATATTGTAAACAAACTGCAACAATAGGGGAAAACATGTAAGCAAAAGGAAGGTCAGGTCAGGTCAGGTCAGGTCAGGTCATCCCATGGCCTAGGAGGCCGTAGGGGTGCCATGGTGGACGTCTGGACCGTCAGGGATCTCCAGCACTCTCGGTCCTTAGCTGTTCGTAGCAGGGTCTGGAAGCTGCAGTCAGTCCATTCCTTAAACATGTAAGCAAAAGGAAAAGGTTAAATAAAAAGATACCAATGTGTTTTTGCTTATTTTGCAAAAATGACTTTTATGCTGTGCCGCAGACTATATTCTTCAAAAATTTCTTCCCAACTCTGTTGCAGAGTAAGCCATTAATTCTGACATTTTTAGGTTGCTTTACCTTTTTTGGTCCCATTCAGCCCCCAGAATCTTGATGGTTTTAAAGTCTGGTGACCGCACTACATTATTTTCCATTTTTATATTTTTAAATCAGTTTTTTGGACATTAGTACATCATTTTCAACATACAATAAATAAATAAATAAGACAGACGCCACTTTTACAGTAAATACACGGGCCTAGATGAGATTCGGTATCTCATGATGCTTTATCGCTTGGAATGTTGTTCACTCTTGGGGTGACATGTTATTTTACTCAAAATCATCCCTTAAAACTCATTTAATGTCAAAACGTTTGCGAAAACTCAATCATTTCGTGCCGAAAAATATGAATACGTTTTGGGTGTTTTTCATTAAAATATATATAAATAAAGGGCTTCGCACCTCCTCGGTCAGTGTCGAGGCTGTGGGAATGATTTCAGTATGATAAATCGCCACGAGATAGCAGGAGTGGCTTTGATCAGATATTGGTCGCGCGAGTGGGTGTTGGGTGTGGTCCGGCGATCATACGTCAACGGAAGCGATGTCAACAGAGAGAACATGAATAGCTCACGACAACAGAGCTTTTTCAAATCAAAAGATGATGACGAGTCCCATCGTCATTCTTGACGAACATGCGCACACACACGCACACACACACACACACACACACGCACACGCACACACGCACGCGCACACGAAGTTCAAGAGCAGGGAAAAGGTCATGCATAGGTCATGCATCTGTGCAGTGTTTATCTTGCAATAAACTGTTATTTCGCAATCAAAGTGATCTTTTTTGTGTGATTTAGCAGGAAAATATTGTTGAGATTTTTGAGGTATGGTATCACAAATGCAAAAATAATAACATCAAAGTAAAAGTTTTGCTTGAAATGCATCCTTTCACAAAACACGCTTTTTCTCTGAATTTTTCCTTGTAAACGAGTATTTTCAAGAACCTTACCAATGTCCAAATGCTGTTTACTAAAGAATTATGAAAGGTAGAAATGTAATTTTTTCCCCCTTGAAAAAAGAGGGTTAAAGCCTTATTTTGGTTTGTTCCATGCAGCGGGAGAACTCAATTTTCAGTAGCCCTTCCACAATTAGTCAAGATGGTCAAAAATAGCTGGCACAGGCTCTCCCAATTTGAGAAAAACAGTTGGCATTTAATGAATTTTGAGGAAATTCACCAATGCATGATTATAGGTTAATCAGCATTGTTGGGAGAAATGCAGGGTTACTGGATGACAATTTTTACGTTGTACCTTGAACATGTCATTGAATATCTATATTTTTACATTTTACATTTAGTTCTCAATCATCTATCTATCTATCTATCTATCTATCTGTCTGTGTCTGTCTGTCTGTCTGTCTGTCTGTCTGTCTGTCTGTCTGTCTGTCTGTGGTAGCGTGGTCGATTCCCAACCCACAAATTGTACAGAAGGTGGCAGTGATGCGACGACAGCAACCGTGTGTGTCTGTGAGGCGTAAGAGAAGAAGAAAAATAAACGAAGAAGAAGAAATATGGCGGCCTTCGGAAAGTCACGGTGCTTATGTCGAGGCTACTCTTGGTTGCAAAGTGTTAAGAGAAATAAAAACCTGCATGTAAAATGCGTCACCAGGACTTTTTGCCGCGATCCGCAAGACAGCGGTATGTATTTTATTCAATGCATCATGACGTGCTGAGCAAAATATGTAAATATCAAGCTGACCTTGTCATGTGTCGCAAGTACAAAACATCCACGTTTGGATTTGTTGTACAAACTATTCTGTTTACTGTTCACCATCCACAGCTTCTGCATTTTTCAATTGTGAAAAAGGACGTTGTCTTTTAGTAGATATTGCAATGAAACATTATTTTTCCAGCTGATGTTGTTTGGTTGGTGTAGTTTGATAGAAAAATAAATTGCAATTCAGAGTACCGGTAGCGTTCTACATTTATTATGGTGAAGATAGATAGACAATTGTGTCATGTTGCTCGTCAATTAAGTTCAGTAAACTGAATTAAGATAAATGTTTACCTTGAGCAGTCAGTCTGAGGCATAATTAGGATTGCATATTTTCTCTTTCTTAGGGCAAAACACCGAAAAGCCCCAGTTCACAGACCCAGTTGTGCAGGACATCCTCACCAGGATAACAGGCCTGGATCTGCAAAAGGTGTTCCGATCACTTAAACAGGAGCTGAGCCCGCCAACGTATAAACTCATGACCGATGAACAGTTGGAGCAGGTGCCTTCAATGTTACCCTTTTTTTTTACTTGTAATCTCATCTGTGACTTTTTACTCAGTAGCCACTATATGCTTTCAGGCGATGACGTTGGCCACGGAGAAGGCAAAAAAGCTGCTTCAAATGCCACCCGTTTTACCTGAGAGGAAGCCCATCAGTGACATACTGTCTGTGGACAAAATTCTAGATGGGATGGATACAGCCAAATACGTCTTCACAGACATCACCTACAATATTCCACACAGGGTAAGTACATTCACCTTCATTATCTAAACAAAAAAAAAAAAGAGCAGGGAACATTTTGGATAGACATTGCTTCAACCTATATTGGTGGAAAACTTCATTGAAGGCAAGGCAGCTTTGTACACCACATTTCATACACAAGGCAACTCAGTGTACTTCACACAAAAAAGAAACAACACCTAGGCCAACACCTGAAAGCCACAAAATATCAGAAATGCCTCAGAATTCAGAATAATGCACAGTATTCGAGCCTTTTCTGTTGCTGGTCCCTCTCTCTGGAATGACCTCCCACTGAACATTCGGCAAGCCTCCTCGCTGCCCATCTTCAAAACCTGCCTCAAAACTCACTTGTATTCGTTGGCATTTAACTCAGCATGTCTTAGATTTGTTCTTGGTTTTGCTGTTCGGTGCCTTCTACCGTCTTTATTACCGATTTGCTTTACTGTTTATTGTATATGTTAAATTGCTCCATGTACAGCACTTTGCATGCAGCGATGGCTGTTTGAAAGTGCTCTATAAATACAGTTGAGTTGAGTAAATCAAATCTACCGTATTTTTGAAGACCATACGGCACACTGTATTAAAAGGTGCATTGTCAGTTACAGGTGCTGTTTCTGTATTGAACGCACACAAAAGACACAAACATGGTAAAACGTACGCTATCACAAAAAATATGGTAGCATGCATGCACTCTAGCATATGTCTTTAAAAAGGCAATGGGAGCAAAACAGAGTTCAGTTGTTCGTGAAGTATTTACCAATCCTCAATCCTCATCCACAAATTAATCAAAGTCCTCATCTTCTGGATCCGAAATGAACAGCTGGGCAAGTTGTCCATCAAACACGCCAAGTTCCCTCTCGTCATGGTCAGAGTCAGTATTGTTGCCGTGCTGCACCTCAGAAATGATGCCGGCTTTTGCGAAAGCTCGAACATCAGTGCAAACAGACACGTTAACCCAAGCATCCCCAACCCATTCACAAATAGTGGCATATACGCTGCCCCCCAGTCTTAGTAAAGCTGTGTCACTCCCACGCCGCTCGCAACTTCACTTTGACCACCCTATTTACACCGATGTCCAGCGGTTGGAGTTCCTTCGTCAAGCCTCCCGGAATGATGGCAAGCTCCCAGTTCATTTGGTGCCCATTTGATTGGCCTTAATGATGACTCTGGCTGGAAACTTTTCTTTCGTCTTATAAATCACCGTACATGGCCATTTCTGTCCTTTACCATGGTAAACAAGCACACCAGTAAAAGCAGACTTTTCATGCCCCGTTCTGCGTATCGCTACCGTGCTGGTCCCCTTCTTCTCTATGGTGTGGTTCACCGGGATGTCCAAAGTGAGCAGCAAATTGTCCATGCCGGTGATGTGGTTAGGCTGGATGTGTTTGCTGGCAATATTTTTGTTGTAGTTCAAAATTCAAAGTATGCTTGTCCCTCATCACCGTAGCCCAAGCGGGTAAGCTAGGAATGTGAAGATTGGTTGAGAGAACAGTTGGTAATGGAAGCCAAGTGAGGACGGCAGAGTGGCAGAATAAAGGATTAAAATCTCCAAGAAAGCGGCTTAATTTAATGCAACGCAGAGCGTTACACTTTGTACTGCAATTGGAGTGGAAGATGACCAGCTTTTCCTTGAAATCTGCCGCATGTTGCTGCGCCACGGTCGTCCTTGCCCGGATGGAGTGATGGCGCCACCACGGTCGTCCTTGCTCAGATGGATGGATGGATGGATGGCGCAGTTTCATAAAATGAAAGCACCATGGATTAGTTGATCTTGAATTCTCTTGCGTCTGCTCGATTCCCATGGTCCTCTTCGTAGGTGCCATTTTCACGATGTTGTTATGCACAATGCACGTACCGGCACGATAGGCACCTACTGGTGGCGTGCCTTTCGCGTCCTTTTTCACGCCCACCCTTCCCACTTTAACGTCCACATGCTGTCCTCAGTTATGGTCCTCATTTCCCAGCGTGTCGGCATAACATCAGTCAGTCAAGCGGGAGAGCTCATCCAAGTCACACAACAGCATTCACAGATTTTGGAACTCTCTCATTATTAGGTGTCCCATCCATTTTGGAGAAAATGTTAAGACTTTTAAGTGCTCCTTATGGTTGTGAAACTACTTATTTGTATCTCCTTTCCTGTTACTGAATGGATATGCATTGCCAGTGTATTACCGATGTACTGCAAATCTTTTTCAGACACACACAAAAATGTAATAGGGTTCCTGTGTTTTTATTATTATTTTTGGTCACTTAGTCTTCATCTACTGTATAGTGACTTTGTGTTTGTTATCCCCTCAGGAAAGGTTCATCCTTGTGAGGGAGACCAACGGCACTCTAAGAAAAGCCACCTGGGAAGAGCGGGACCGACTCATTCAGGTCTACTTCCCAAAGGATGGACGCAAAATCACTCCGCATCTGCTCTTCAATGAAGAGAACCTAAAGGTTGAAAATAGCCCAGTCAAATATCCCACCCGAGCTGCGTTTTACTTTCAGTCTTGTTTGAAATTATACTGTAGCTGTTAGAGCGATTAAGGGGTAGTCCACCTCCAAATTTTCATTACAAGAATAGGTTCTCTGCAACCCGACACGTCTAAACATGAAATTCTGATACGTATTGTCTTTGTGGAATATGAGCCCCTCCGTGAGCCGTCACCTTTCCGTGGTGGAGGGGCTTGTGTGATCCTAGGAGCTAAGTTGTCTGGGGTTTTGCGCCCCTGGTAGCGTCGCCCGTGGCAAACAGGTCTTCAGGTGAATGACCAGACAAAGCACCGTTCGTATGACCTCCTATGATGAAAACAAAAATAAGACGGCATTTTCCCTTTCCCGGACGCGGGTGACCGGGGGTACCCGGGTCTGGAGTCAGGCCTGGATATGTGCCTCGGTGGAGCCATTGTCTCACCGCTTGTCTGGGAATGCCTTGTGATGCCCTCAGGAGAGCTGGAAGAAGTCTCTGGGGAGAGAGAAGTCCGGGCCTCCCTGCTAAAACAACTGTCCCTGCGACCAAACACAGATAAGCGGTAGAGAAAGGATAGATGGATGGATGGATGATGGAATATGAGTTAAGCAGTAACAAGTTGTTGTCACCTGAAAATGACATCACAGTTGCTCACGGCTCCCCTAATGCCCAATCATGGTTCAGCTTCAGCAATTTGGCTAAAAATGTGTGAATTTTACTGCTTAATTCATATTCCACAAATGCAATATGAACCAGAATGCACCGTGTTTAGACTAGTGGAAGCGCGGGGAACATATCGGAAAGACAATTTTTGGGCTGACTTCCCCTGAAAACAACCATGACATTATGTAGCTGTATGAATTTTATTTTGCTATGGACAGACAATTAAAATTCACACCGAGTCCCTTGCTTTTATTTTCTGTTTTATTTGCATACTCCTATTTTCTATTAGATGGTGTTCTCTCAGGACCGACATGAGGATGTTTTGGACTTGTGTCTAGTCCAGTTTGAACCTGACTCTTCACAGTACATCAAGGTTAGCGGACTACTTCGCACACCATCTGAGCTCCAATTTTTCGACAGTCAAGTAAAGCAATGTTGCATTCACCAAACGTTTGTGTCAGGTGCATGCAGCCACCTATGAAGATCTGGAAAAACACGGGAAATACGAGCTTCTTCGTTCTACGCGGCACTTTGGAGGCATGGCCTGGTACCTGGTCAATGCTCGTAGGATTGATGGCCTCATCGTGGACATGTTGAAGAAGGAATTGTGAGTTGAAGTGTGCTGAAATTGTAAGATTGATTTCACATCTGTACAGTGCTGTGACATCGTATTAGCGCCCTTCCTGATTGCTGCGTTCTTCGCATAGTTGTAACTGAAATCTTTGTGTGGAAAGAATATCCAAAGAAGACAGCAATCGGGAAGGGGGCAAATACTTTTTCACGTGTGTGTGTGTGTGTGTGTGTGTGTGTGGGTGGCTGTAAAAAAAATACATATACATATATATATAATTTATAGGTTCAAAATAATTGTGTTTATTTGAAGAGCAACTTTCTAAATTATTTATGGGGTCGGCTTAATCCCAGGGAAGCATAGTTTTTGATAAATTATAAAAACATGACAATATAATAAATGCATACTGTAATTGTTTTTCTTGTTTTTCTTTTCATAAAATCAATTTGTTTTAATTTATTAAATTCACATTGTGTATAGCAGTACACCTTTTCTTGTCTAGGAGCAAAGCTAAATTGATTATCAAAAGCTCTGCTATAATGTAATTTTACAAATTAAAATAATTTAGTTTTGAAAAATTCCTTGATATATTTACCCCATAAAAAAGGTCAAGGTACAAGAAGAACCTGAACTATTTTCTATTGAACTGTTTATAATTTAAGACCGGCATGTCCAGCTGTTGTTCTTGACGGCTGCTGTCCTGCGTGTTTCAGAAATTTTTTCGTCCGCCAACACACCTAATTCAAATGATCAGGCCATAGGCAAGCTCTGAAGAAGCCTGATAATGATCCCGATCATTTGAATCCAGACTACTTTAAAGTGAAACAACACAGAATCACTCCAAAACATCACAAAATATCAATTCAAATTTGTAAAATAAAAAGGTGGGTGAGGAATGGCATCCAGATAACGTTTGTATTGTAAAGATAGGAAATGCGAAAAACTGAGTGTCTTTGCTTTGAGCAGCTTTCGTCAGTCAAAAATTAAATGCCTTGTTTTGATTCTCCCAGGAGGGACTGACATTGCTACAATTCACAGTCTTCATCCGGCATCAAGCAACAATTGCGTTCGAGCCTTGTTTCATCACTTAGGCCTGTATTATGTTATGTGTTCTGTACAAAACTATGTTTTTGTTTTTTTACACTCCATTTCTGTACCAAGTTATAAAGAAAAATGTGCTATCGCATATAGATTGTCACGCAATTCATTTTAGGGAATGAATGAAAGGCCATGTATGGTGCAGAGATGAAAGTCCTCCGGATTTTCCCGGACTTCCGGGTTTTTCAAAATTTTATGAAAATTTCTCCGGACAATTGAGGAAAATTTGCATAAAATTAATCCGGATATTAGTTGACAACATTGAACGAAGACGCGTTTGAGTTCGTTGTATTGCTTTCACGAGCGTAGCCATATTGAGGCACTAACACTAGTAACAGTAAAGAGATTTTTATTTGTGTAATAACGACAGAAGACATGACGGCGTTTGACTAATGGTTTAGTAGAACGAATGGCAACTCGCAACAACAGTAGCAAGCGTCATTTTGCCTCTTGGGTTATACCATCTCAACTACAACGTGGGGGATAGTCCCCAAACAATTTTCGTCTCTTTATAAACACTCCTGCTAAACCCCAGTGGAACGAATAAAAGACGCCGTGGACAAGACAGTTGTCGTAAAAAATATATTTGGCCAAAAAGGGAAAAACACAGATTGGCAGAAAATTGTGTCCGTCCGACTTCCGAGTGTCGTC